TCCTCATGGGGAATAACTACCACCAGCTGTGCAGCCACTCAGCCAGGCCCAGCCAAGTTGAGACACAAATATAATTACCACAGATGGGAACAGCACAGCATAAAGACAATGGCTTTTTTCCTTGCCTGTGGTAGAAGCAGGGCTAACCACCTTATCTGTCTTTAGGTCCTCTTCCATGGCAGGTGTGGTATACCCCGGACAGGTGAGTTCTGTGGGCTTCTGTCCTCTCTGACCATTTCAAGGTCAGGCAGTCTCCTCAGCAAGCAGCCTCAGTGGAGGGCAGGTTCTTTGGAGGTCCCTCTGGTCATTATTCTGCAATGTTTTGTTTTGTTTTTTTACTAAGCAGAGAAAGCTAAATATTTACTATTTTCTGGGTTTCATTTATTTCTTCAGCATGAATTTATTAGGCACCCATAGTGTGTCAGACAGGAGCTCTGGTAGCATAGTGGCTAAGGCACTTGACTGCTAACCAGAAGGCTGGCGGTTCAAACCCACCAGCCACTCCTCGGAAGGAAGGTTGGGCAATCCTACTTCTGTAGTGATACTGCCTCGGAAACCCAAGGAGGGGTCGCTATGAGTCGGGGTCGACTCGATGGCAAACAACAACAACAACAACAAGTGTGTCAGACACTGTGCTGGGCTTTGGGCTACAAAGTTGCCTAAGATAAGATTCTGATCTGGCACACTTCATTAGATCAATTACATTATGCCATGATAGGTCCAGGAGCAGGGTGTATAACATGAAAGCACTGAGGAGAAAGAGTTGATTCTTGGGGGATGGAGAATAAAAGGGTGATTGACATGTTCTGGAGAAGAGACTTTTCCCTTTGGTTATAGCGTATCCATAGGAGTTTGACGGTCAATAAGGAGTGTAACTAGCATTTTGAGCAGGAGAGATCATGTCTAGGCTCATTTGAAGGGTGAAAGGATTGTGGCTGGAGTGCAGAGCTCATGGAGAAGAGAGCCCAGGGGAATGAGGTGGCAAAGCTGGATAAAGGCCAGATAATGAAGGGCTCAGAATGGCAGGCCCAGAGATTGTCCTCTAGCCTGCAATGAAATGCCATTGAATGGCTTTAAGTGGAAAATGACAACACAACATGACTGCTTTGTGTTCTCCTTTGTCCTTTAGGCCCCTGTGGATTTAGACATATACCAAAGCTCTTACATGGTCGACTATAAGGCCTATGGGGAGCATAAATATTCCGGTGTCACACCACAAGAGGTAAGAAGGCCACTCAGCCTTGTCATCTATTCAATCTGCCGCAGAAGTCATGTTTATTTTCTTTTTATTAGGAGTATGGACATTGGAGGTGCTTATTTGGAAAACATCCAATGCCATGAGACCTGCTTTAGAGCATGTCAGTGTCAAATGCACATCAAATGCATATAAAAAATCATAAATAATATATATATTTCAGTTTAAATATCATTGGTAAAACAAGCACCAATGTACCTATTATCAGCCTATTTTATAAGTACCATTGTACCTTAGGTTATAACACATTAGATGTGTTATATGTTACAACATATTAAACATTAACAGTATCTTATGGCCCCCTGGGTATCTCTCCCTGATCATATGCCCACCACTTCTAGAGGTAGCTATTCTGCTGAGTTTGAGCTTAATCTTTCCCTTGCTTTTTATAGTCTTATTCTGTATTTAGGATCTCTGGTGGCATAGGAGCTAACCAGAAGGCTGGCGGTTCAAACCCACCAGCCACTCCTTGGAAGGAAGATTGGGCAATCTACTTCTGTAGAGATACTGCCTCGGAAACCCAAGGAGGGGTCGCTATGAGTCAGAATCGACTCGATGGCAGTGAGTTTGGTTTTGGGACTCTATATGTATCCTTTCAAACAAAGTGTTTCACTTTACTTTTGTTGAAGTTTATTATGAATGGGAATCATACTGTTTATAGGCTTCAGTGATTTTCAGTTTTTGCTAAACATTATGGCATGTTCATTCCACTGGGTAATATCCCACTGCATGAATGTGCCTCAATGTATCTAGTCCTCCTCATGGTGGATATTTGTGGTATTTGCTTTTCTTCCTATTCTCCCTTCTCCCAAACACTGCAGTGAACATAAGCCACACATATCCCAATGTGCAAGGGTTATCCATCTCAGGGTGGACTGGAATCGCTTGTAATAGCGTATTAGGTAATGCCCTTGTTTTCCAAAGTGGTTGCACTAATTTACATTATCACCTGCAATAGATAGTCATTCTGGTCACTATGAGTCAGAATCAACCAAATGGCAATGAGGCTTTTCCCCTGTCTCTCTGCAGTTTTGCCATTACTTGGTATCATCAGACTTTTACATTTTTGTCAGTTTAGTAGGCATGAAATAATGCTTTCCTGTGGTCATAATTTTTATTTTACTAACTATTAATGAGATGAAGTCTATTTTCATTTTTATATGGAGATTTGTCTTTTGCCTGTTTTTTTTTTTTTGAAATTGGGCTGTCTTTTCTTATCAATTTGTGGAAGTTCTTTATATCTTCTGGCCATCTCTCATTTGTTCGGTCAATAGGTGGGCAAAATGGTTTGTGGTTTGTCTCTTCACTCTTGTCTTTTGGTGAATGGAAATTCTCATTTTCAATGTAATCAGATTTATTAATCTTTTCCTTTTTTATTTGCTCATTTTAAGTCTTGGTTAAGAAATCCTTTTCTATCCTGAGGTATCCCTACTAATGATAAGAAATCTATACAAACAATGATGGCACAATTTCCAAGATATGGTGTTTAATGAAAGCAAAGTACAAAATCAAATTATAATATGCATCATATGTGTGCACATGGGGATGGAGAAGGATGTACATACATGTTTATATGCACATAAAATATTTCTGAAAAGATACACCAAACACCAACAGCAGTGGTTGCTTCAGCATGGGAACTGAGAGCTGAGAAGGGTGGGAAAGGCACTTACTTTTCACTATAAATTCTTTTGTATTATATCAAATACAAAACTACATATATTACCATTTAAAAATTAATTAAACGTTAAAAAAATGCATGTGTGCTCTGTCTTGGATACTTCCAAGGAAAGCTACCTTGTCTTTCTCCACTCTCAGCCCTCCATTCATGCCTGATTTGATTCCACAGAAGGTGAAGCTCAATGTTAAACTCCGGGCCAAAGAGTTTTACAGGGCCATCCCCAACCCCAACCCCAGGCTGGTGGATGGATACCCTGCCTTCAAAAGAGTCCACATGACAGCAAAAGACCTGGGACAACCTGGCTTCTTCCCACCACCTGACGATGCAGTCCAAGCAAATGACCAGTACAAGTTCACGAGTACCTACCACTCAACGTACCCAGCTTCCCAACCTCTGAACCCGGCCCAGAGTGATCCCAACCAGGTTTACCAGAGTGCTGACTTCCCGTGCCTCCTGGAGCCTGAGCACCAACCTGCTGCAGAAGAGGGCAAAGGCTATCTCCTACTGCCCGGCTGCTCTTGTCCTCATCATCAGATGGCCAAGGTCCCCATCTTGTACCGGTGGGGACCTTTGAGGCCATTTTACCAGTAAGAAGGTGAGCAGACCCTCTAAGGACTGTGGGAATCCTATACCCACTGCTCGGCCTTTTGAGTGCAGAGAGAGAAACTGAAAATAAAACATTGGAAAGATGCTATAGCATCGAACTCTGGGGCTGTCATTGTCCTACCTTCCTCCCTGGTCTCCCTGGGTCACAGCCTCCCCACTGCAGAGAGAGGGAGGAAAGAAAGGAGGACTGACATCTGTGTAATGCTTTGTTATGGTTAAGAATCCTGTTGCAAAGATTCACACTGTGTTAGGCATTTACTTACAAAGTGGGAATAAATCCTGTTTCCCACAGTCACCTGGATGTTCAGTGAGATTGTAAAACTTGAGGTGCTTTCCCTCAATACTCCTATTTTAATTTATCCACCACCCCACCCTTTACAGGAGAGCTCGGGTAGCATAGTGCCTAAGGCACTTGACTGCTCACCTGAAGGCTAGTGGTTCAAACCCACCAGCCACTCCTCGGAAGGAAGGTTGGGCAATCCTACTTCCGTAGTGATACTGCCTCAGAAACCCAAGGAGGGGTCGCTATGAGTCGGGGCCGACTCGACGGCAAACAACAACAACAACAACAACAATGGTAAAAGTTTAGAGGACATCATTTCTTCTTTGTTTTAGCTGCATTAACTATAAATATTGCCACTCAGCTTCTTTGTTTTAGTTGCATTAGTTATAGATACTAACTTTAAAACTTCATGTTAACGTATTTCTCTTCTTGCTCCTTAGAGCATATATAAACACATATATGTATAAATAGGTTAAACTGCCGTCACAAAGAGAACTAAAACCCAGTGGCTTGGACAACCTCCTAGCTTTGTTCTCTCTCCTCTAATAGTTCAGAGATCTAAGTGGGTGGGGCATCTTTGCTGTGGCTGCCAGCTCTGGGTCCAAGGTGGCTGATTCAGTAGTTGACGTTTTTAGATCAGCACAATGCAGGAAACAATGGGGGTGGGGGTGGGAGAACACAGGTGCGTTCCTCTTAAGGGTACAATGCAGAAATGGTATTCTTCACTTCTAGACATAACTCCTTGACTAGAGTTTAGCCACATGGCCATTCCATACTGCAAGGGAGGCTAAGAAATATAATTGCTCTTCGGAATGGCCATGTGCCCATCTAAAAACTAGGGGTTTGTTAGTATAGAAGTACACATTTGGTGGGTTCCTAGCCATCTTTGCCACAATACATGAGAAGGCTTTCCCTTTGCTAGAACACAATACACCTGCGCTTCTCCTTGGAGCAATCTTACTAAAATGAAGATTTTGGATCAGTTGGTCTGGATTGGGAGCAAGATGCTGCATTTCCAACAAGATCCCAAGGTGATGCTGCTGAACTGTGGACCACACTTGAACAGTGAGGCTGTACACCATCCTCTGCATCTTTACTTTCCCCCTACAGGCTGTTTATTTGTTAATTATTTTTAATTAAAAATTATTTTTAATGGCTGCCTGATATTCATTGAATTAATATATTTCTATTTATTCATCTATTTCCATACTAACGGGTAGTCATGACTTTTCAATTTCCCCCCAGCAAGTATTGCTACAATCACTCCTCATCAACATATATCCTTAGATATTGATGGTTTCATTTAGTAAGACAGACTCTTACAAGTGAGATTACTGAGTCAAACAGTATGGGTGTGTGTCTAGTGTTACTAGATACTACTAGAATTTTCTCCTCTGAATAGTCCACATCCTGTTAGTGTGTGTGGCAGTGGCTCTTTACCTGTCTCTCCACCTGGGATGTGGATATTATAAACCTTTTTATTTTTTGCTAATTTGATGCATGGAAATGATATCTCATCATGGTTTAATTTGCAATTATTTGGTTACTAATGAGGTTTAAGGAGCTCTGGTAGCATATTGCCTAAGGCACTTGACTGCTAACCAGAAGGCTGGCGGTTCAAACCCACCAGCCACTCCTCGGAAGAAAGGTTGGGCAGTGATACTGCCTCGAAAACCCAAGGAGGGGTCACTATGAGTCGGGGCCGATGGCAAATAGTTGGCAAATAACAACAACAACAACAATGAGGTTTAAGAATCCCTGGGTGGTACAGACTAACCAACTGAAAGTTTGGTGGTTCAAAGCTACCCAGAGGAGCTTAGGAAGAAAGTCCTGGCAGTCTGCTTCCAAAAGATCACAGCCATTGGAAACCTATGGAGCAGTTCTACTCTGCAACCCATGGAATTGCCATGAGTCAGAACAGACTTGACAACAATTGGTTTTGATAGTGAAGTTTAAGATCTTATATCATCAATCATTGGGATTTCTGGTCATATCTTTAATTGTTTATCTCTTTTGTCATCAATATAGGAGGTCTTTGCACATTGGCAAATGTGCACATGTTCCAATGATGTTCTCTCTCTTTAGTTTGATTTTTGTGTATTTGTTGGACATTCAGAAATTTAAAATATATAATCTTAACATATTTTCTTTTTCTAACATAAAATTAATTAGTAATATCTACAACAGAAAATTTTACAAAGTGAAGAAAGATATAAAGAAAGAAAAGAAACCATTTATAATCCCATTACTCAGTGAGTGACAACTACTGTTAACATTTTGATACCTTGGTAGTAGGATAATGGTTAAAATCCTGTGCTGTGGAGTCAGATAACACTGAGGTTCCACCCATGCTTGAATTTACTGCTTATTGGATCAGACATGGAAGTCCCCGGGTGGTGCAAACAATTAACACACTCAGCTGTAAACTGAAACATTGGAGATTAGAGTCCACCCAGAAGTTCCTCAAAATAAAGACCTGGCAACTGTTGGTTTATGCCCATACAGAGCAAAGAAGAGTGAAGAAAATCAAAGACACATGGAAACAATTAGTCCAAAGGACTAAAGAACCAGTTGAACTTCAGCCTTTATGACCCTGAAACCAGCACTTGATGGTGCCTGGCTATCATTGCCGGCCCCTCTGAAAGGAACAATAATGTTGTTGTTGTTATTTGCCATAGAGTCGGCCCCGACTCCTAGCAACCCCTCCTTGGGTTTCCGAGGCAGTTATCACTATGGAAGTAGGATTGCCCAACCTTCCTTCCGAGGAGTGGCTGGTGGGTTTGAACCGCCAGCCTCCTGGTTAGCAGTCAAGTGCCTTAGGCACTATGCTACCAGAGCTCCCTATAGGAGGAGAAAAATGTGGAACAAAACTCAAATCATTTAAAAAAGAAAAGGCTCACTGGTCAGATAGAGACTGGTGGATCCCCCAAGACTATGGTCTTCAGTCGCCCTTCTAGTCTAGAACTGAACTCACCCCATGGCTCAACTTTCAGCCAAACAGACGGGTCTTAAGATGAACAATAACATCAGGGAGGTAGCACTCCTTAGAACTCTCAACTACTCGAGATCGAATTGGCAGCATTTGCCAAGAGACAAAGTTCAGAAGGCAGGAAGGAATAGGAAAGGAGGATGAAATGGGAAAAATAGGGAGGAAGTGGAATGAGTGCTATTATACTGCAGAGAGTGCAGCCAACGGCATGAAACAAAGTGTGTATGAATTTTTGAATGGAAAACTGATTTGCTCTGTAAACTTTAACCCAAATCACAATAGAAAGTTAAAAAGTAAGAGAAAGACCTAACAATCTACCCCTGATAAATCAGCCTTTGAAAACCCTGTGGAACACAGTTTTCCTCTCACACACAGGGTTCACCATGGGTTGGATCAACTCAATAGCAACAGATTTCAGTGGTAGCTGAGAGGAATTGAAATAATATTGAAAGTTGTTTACTCTCTCTTAATAGAAATGTTTTTCATCTGTAAGAAGTGTTAAGAATGTTATTGTAGTGTTGGTGAAGAGTATTGAATCATACCGTGGACTGGCAGAAAAACAAACAAATCTGTTGTGGATGAAGTACGGACAGAATTCTCCTTTAGAAGTGAGGATGGCAAGACTTTGCTTCCCATACTTTGGTCTTGTCGGAAGGAACCAGTCCCTGGAGAAGGATATTATACTTGGCTAAAGTAGAAACAAACAAACAAAAAAAATCAAACTCACTGCCATCGAGTTGAATCCGACTCATAGTGACCCCTCCTTGGGTGCCTGAGGCAGTATCTCTATGGAAGTAGATTGCCCAACCTGCCTTCCAAGGAGTGGCTGGTGGGTTTGAACCGCCAGCCTTCTGGGTAGCAGTCAAATGCCTTAAGCACTAGACCCTGAAGGAGATGGATTGACACAGTGGCTGCAATAATGGACTTAAGCAGAGCAATGAGGATGGTGCAGGACTGGGCAGTGCTTCATTCTTTTGTACATAACATTGCTATGAGTTAGAACCAACCTGAGGTCACCTAACAACAACAACATCTTACAGAGTGCACATGGTTCACACAGTGCTTGAGATACCAGGCTCAGTGTTTACAAAGTTCACACTGAATATGTAATTTTAAATCCTACTTGCTCTGGTAGCATAGTGGCTAAGGCACTTGACTGCTAACCAGAAGCCTGGTGGTTCAAACCCACCAGCCACTCCTCGGAAGGAAGGTTGGGCAATCCTACTTCCGTAGTGATACTGCCTTGGAAACCCAAGGAGGGGTCGCTATGAGTCGGGGCCGACTCGACGGCACATAACAACAACAAACTTGCTTTTAGTTGCATTAATTATAATTATTGCCACTCAACTTTAAAACTTTATAAATGTTATTGCATGAACATACCATAGTTTATTGTTGTTAGACATTCAGGCTGTTTGCAATTATTGATTTTCTCTTATAAGGCTATAGCATTAAACCCTTTTCCATAGGTAGGTAGAAAACCAGAAGTGAAATTATTGGTCAAAGTAAATGAACATATTCTTGATGCATATCACCAAACTACTTTCTAAATAGGTATATTTTTAATATTAGTACTAACGATTACTAATTTTGTTAGATGTAATAATGGCATTGTGTTGTTGTTGTTGTTGTTATGTGCTGTCGAGTTGGATCCGACTCATAGCGATCCCTCCTTGGGTTTCCAAGGCAGTATCACTAAAGAAGTAGATTGTC